TTGACATATAAGCTATCAGCTTGAGAGCTTTCCCCTGCATTCTACTTCCGCTGGTTGTGAGCCAAAAAGGATGCAGTAATCTCCTCAACTTTGATAGTCTCTTTCCCATATGTAAGAGGAGTCACCATGTGTTCGTAAGAGGGAGGCAACGAACACAACAAAATCATTGCTTTGTTTTCATCCTTAATTTTCACATCAAGCCGAGCCAAATCAGAAATGATTTGATTGAAGACATTCACGTGTTGCGCCAAATCATGATCATCTTGCATCTTCAACCCATACAACCGCTGCTTTAGATACAGTTTAGTCTTTAAGGATTTGGACATAAACTGACTTTCCAAATTTCATCTGGAGATGACAGATGCATGACGTGATACATGACCTTGTCCGCCAAACATAATCGTATGTTCTTTCCGCTCGTTGCTACAATTCTTTCCAATCTTCCTCCTCCATCGACGCCAGCTTTGTAGGTCGCAAAGCCTTCAGGATCCCTTATTGCGCCAACAGATCCTTCACCCTTGTTTTCCATAATCTGAAGTTACCCTGACCATCGAATTTCGCAACTTTGAATTTGGCTCCTGACATCTGATACAAATTGTTGAATAATCAGGTAAAGAAAACAAAAAGAACACAAGAATTTTAATGTGGTTCAACAATGTGCTTACGTCCTCAGTACCTTAGGCGGCGCTATAATTTTTATTCAATTCAATATCTCATAGGTTTAGGTTACATCTCCTTTTATAATAAATAAATCCTGGTACATATTTACAAAAATAACCCTATACCATACCACGGGCCGCACCCCCAACCCACATAATCGTAACCCCCACTACGAGACTTTCCTTTACCGGTATATTTATGAGTCATACCTAACACCACTCAAGAAACCCCACGACTTATGAACTCTTTTCATACACGAACTCTGTAACTTGGTCTCCATAAAGAGAACCATAGAAGGATTCATGTCTCGTAGTATATGCCAGAGATAACGAATTGTTCGAGGCATCCTCAAACCTCAAACGTTCCAACTTAAGAGTTCCATGGTGACTGGCTAGCCTGAGGTCGCAGGCTTGCCGATAAAACAACATTTCCAGATGTGATTTCCCCACTGTCCAACAGATCTCCTGGAACACTTCGTTGACGCTTTGCATTATCTAGCCTCGAAAGGAGGTTTTCCTCATCCACTAACACCATCGTTATATCATTATCCCTCTATGACACATTCCCCTTATCACTTGCGTAGAACGATCGTGCAACCCAATCCTTAGTTTGGTTCTTCAAACTCAATGCTGAAGAATAAACTATGGTAGGGACCGTTGTAGGAACCGACACCATCCCTCCCTCCAAAGTCTTCTCACGAAGCCAAGGGCTAGACAAAATACCCTTTCTACGCGGAGGTGCCTGGATAGACAAATCCCATTGTAGAACCAGTTCTTTCTGTTCTTGTAAAATGCAGAGAGGGCATAATTTTTCATCATGCCCCAACTTGCCACACATAAAATAGAAGAGCATGAGTTTCTCATATTGGAACGTGGCATAGGCGAAAGACCTATTCAACATTGCAATATTTTTCTTGCGTTTTAGTGGTTTCCTTACATCCAACTCAACACACACCTGGATAGAACCCCGATGCCCCAAACTGATTGCAACAACATCGTACTCCATAAAAGTGCCAATAAAATCTCCCAATTTTTTGCTACTTGCTCGGAAATAAAACCCACCAGTAAATCATTGATGAGAACCCAAAAGGCATATATGTTCAATTATACTTACATCATATCCTCCCCTAATTCCGATGTAGCAATACCACCAATACGATGTCATACATTAGCCGAAGTCACTAGCATAGCTTGAAAATTGAGCATGCTTGTCGATAAAAATCACCCCAGAAAACAGTGTTTAAACGACACTGGTAACTGCTGTTCCGGTGGAATTAACTCTAGACTCTCTTCCTCCTCATCCCCAATTACAACCCCTCTAGATCAACTTCTACATTCCCCATACCGAAATAAAACAGACAGAAACAGGAAAAATACTAACAAAACTAGAAAAAAACCAGTTGCCACATACACATGCTTTCGACCTATATAGCATAAATAAATATTGTTGTGTGAGATAGAGTTTTCTAAATGCTATTTTGATAAAAAAAAATAAAAAAATTATTATTTTAAAAGTTTGGGCCTATGTTTTATATCTTTGGAAGAACATGGTACTCTCAAAATTAATTAAAGGGTTAACTATATAATTAATCATTTATGTTTGTGTTTTATACATTTTTTCACTGATTTCAAAAAAATAATATATAGTCACTTTTGTTTTTATTTAATTAAGATATGAGCACTTTAGTTTTTATTTAATTAAGACGTGGTCACTACGAGTTAAATGTCGTTAACTAGGTGACATGGTATTTTGGCATAATCACACATTTGGTCTCTATTATTCACACATTATCTCAATTTAGTCATACTTTTTAATAAATCAAAATAAATATAAGATAAGAATAAAATATATTTAAAAATTTAAAATAATGATATAATATACTTAGTAAATTAAGATAAAATATATACTTTGAAAAGTTAAAATAATAATAAAATATATATTTTTAAATTAAAATTAAATTATTTTTAAATTAAGTTAATAATAAAATATATTTAGTAAGTCAATATAATTTTTTTAAAGTTAATATATATAAAATATTATAAATTTATGTTAAATATTTATATATTAAGATACAAAATGTATGCATCATGTTGTTTATTAGATTAAGCATTAGTATTAACTTAATGTTTGGATACATTTTAACCTCAATTTACTAGTGAGTCAAGCATTGCACAAGAAATAGAATAGATGTTTTATCCCTTTCCCAAATGCAAGAAATAGAAATTGAATAGATGTTTTATCTAAGGCAGCAGGTAGGTGAATAGCTTTAAGGTTAGGTAGTGGGGCGATCTCCATATCAATAAAGCCGGTTCAGATGGGTTCCCACGCACCACTCTCACCTTACTTCCTTTATTTCCATTGACTACACGTATTTAGTCTTGTTCATTACTCTTTTTATTAACCAATTAAATAAGATGAATTGTTTGTTTTAGTGGTCAAATTTCGAGGAGTGAGTAATTTACGATAGTTTAGATGATAAAAGAAGAAGTAAATAAATCAATAATTATTATTTTCTATATGAACATAAAATTATTGATCGGATTACTTTTTAATATTTAGTTATTAAATCAGCTCTATAATTTGAAGTTTTCTAATTTAATCGAATGTATTATAATTTCAACAACTACAATAAGTATATTTTGAAGCGTATTACTTTTTATTTTACTTTTATTTATTTTTCCAAATCTAAATTTATTAATTGTTTTCTAATAGGATGATATATATATATATATAAAGGACTAGGATCTAATATTATAGTGTAAAATTTTTTAGTTTTACACATTTTTGAAATAAATATTTGACTCCTCTTCATCCATTGATCTTAAAAGGATATTTTACTCTAAGTGTAAATAGATCCTAGCTCATCTATAAATTATAAATAAAATAAAAATTTTAATATATATTAAAAAGATTTATTCTAGAATATAGATTTTCTTCAATATAAATAATAGAATAAATAATTATTCATTCAATACCTTTAACATCTACAGATAAAACACCATTTAGTCTATAAAGTTAGCATTTCTTACAATTTGATCCTTAAGTTTTTTCGGTACATATAATTCCCGAAATCTATAAAAAAAAATAGATTTACAATTTTTAAATGACGAAGTAATATAATTTTACATGGAATATCATAAAAAAACTAAAAATCCAAATTCTTTATCAAAGTAGTGAAAACTTGTGAAGTTTTGAGATTGGATTGCACAAGAATTTCAGGGATCATTTTAAATAGAGAAAATCGCCTCAGCGACTAAAAATACCTTATAATATACGATTTTAACCAACTATTTTTGGATTTGCCAAAATGACCAATAAAATCGCAACGCGATTTAGAAGATCGCAACGTTAAAAAGAAAATCGCAACGGTCAAAAGATAATCGCAACGCGAGCTTCCAAGTTCGCAACGCGATTTAGAAGAAAATCGCAATGCGATTGATAGAATCGCAATGTGATTGGGAGAGTCGCAACGCGATTTAGAAGAGAATCGCAACGGTCAAAAGAATAGTTAAAAAATTTTTGTTTCTTAAGGATTTTCTCTAAAAAGATAGTATCCGCGCGGACGTGTCGAAGACACGTATTACCACGACCACGACCACGACCACGACCACGACCACGACCACGAGACGGCGGCGGCGGCGCGCGAGAGTCCCCCTTGTCCTCTTTCACTCAACAAGGAAGTGCAAAATACAAGCCTTAAATACCATTCCCAATAGTATTTCCAATACTATGTGGGATTGAGCATTACCAACACTTGTTCCAAATATCATTATTCTTCATAAGTTATCATCCATTACAATATGAATTAGTCGTGTTAATGAACCAATATACCTCATTAATATATGGTATTGTTGAACAACGTACGACTTATAATTAAAAAACTGAAATAACAGAGTTTTATTTGCCACGTCAATTCGGCCGTTACGTTTCTCTATTCGCACTCCTTTTACAATTTGTTTAGATTCAGAAGATTTCATTTTAATGCTTCAAAACGAAGCCGTTTAAAATTGAACCGACGTAACAAAAACCTCGAATACAAGAAGAAAAACCCCATAAACTTGTTCAGGTAAAGCTTTTAAATCCCCCCTCCCGTTTTTTTCTTTCCGATTCAGAGCGAAGCAAAGGCCTTTCATTTTTATTGTAAAATTACTGTACTCTAAAGTTGAAATCTGCACTGCTCTCCCTCTTTGTTTGTTTTCGCCTTAAAAGCTCAAGCTTTCTCGGCTGCGGACATAGTTTCTTATGTAAGCCTTTGTTGTTCCACTTTGCACAATTGTTGTACGTAAGTTTTAATTAATTTATTTTCAGTTTTTGATTTATTCTTACAAGAGATTATGACAATGTTGGTTCAGGTAGGATATAAGAGACGGAAGCAAGAATATGTTCACTGAAGGACTCGACAACAATGCCCTCAAATGGGTGCGACAAGTGAGACTTCTTCTTTTCTTTCCTTCTTTTTTGAATTTCCATTTCATTAATTAGGATTTCTCATTTGTTTTTTTTTTCCGTTTTAGCCGAAGGAAATTCCGTATTCACATTCTAGCTTAAGGCCTCGAATTGATCCGATCACCAACATCCGTGCCCGAAGCCGGAATTTAGGCTTACCGTCTCCGGGAAAATTCAGGAGCGGCCACTTTCCGGAAACGACAATCCCGTTGATGTCTGCCGCTTTAACAGGTGAGGAGGACAGTTCCCCCGCTTCTGAAAATGACGTGACTAGTGACTCTGAGAAAGATACTGTTTATGGAGGGAGGTATTCTCTTGATTCTTCTCCACGAGATGAAAGACTTCCTAATGGAACTGCTCGTACATTTGGAAACCGGGCCCAAAGACAGCCCCTATATGCCACTGCCAGTGGTTATGCATATTCAGATGTTAGTTCGTCTATGGAGACTTTAATGGGAGGGAGAAGAGGGAATTTGGGTGATAGGTTAGCGAGAAGGAATGGGAGATATCCTGTTGGAAGGGATGGTTTTACCGAAGAGGATGAGTCTTCCGATTCGGCTGTTAGCTCTGAGTTTTTGACTACACAAGTGGGGAGTATTCATGGTATGGTCCCTCGGAGTAAAGCATATGTTTCTAAAGGGTATGATTCAACTGTGCCTTCTCGGATTAATGTGGAAAGTACAACTGAAAAGGTTTGTTTTATTAAAACTTCGGTTTGAATTGTTTTGCAGATTGAGACACAATTCCTTATTTTGATGCCATATAGATATTGTAGCATAGTAATCAAGGTTCACAGAATCAGTTGAATGGAAATCGCTGTCATGGTAGGAAAATACATAAAGATTAAGAATTATACTATCAATTAGCTCTAGAGTTTGCTAACAATTAAGGGGAACCTGAGGTGGATATCGTTGGTATCTATGCTTGTTGACTTCAGACTTTTACTATTTCTTAGCTAATCATATTACTCTTGTCTGACTGCTGATGGAGCATGCACATCTAGAACATTCGATTTCATGAATGCCTTTACGGCATCCTATCACGATTACACGTGATTTCAATAGGTAAAGGGAATTCTGAAGTTCTTGATTTTTTGGAGCACAATAAGACAAAGTTTGGACATGTAGTTCTCAGCTTAAAAATTCATTTTGAACATGTATAGATTGCGTGCACATATATGATATATGCATTTTTCATTTTTTATTATTAACCTTTTCCGTATTATATGGTCCTTGCTGTGGGTATTATTGACTTATATACCCTTCTCTTGTTGGGATGGATTTTTGCAGGATTTAAATTCTAGGAAGCTACACCATGAAAAGATATCTAATGAAGATAATCCAAGTGCACCACCATTTTCTAGTTCAGTGCAGGAAGTTAAACAAGACAGTGAGCACATTCCAGAGTCTGAAACACAAAGCACCCAGTGTGCTGCTGCTTCACACGATCCCAAGACATTCAAATCCATATCCGGTGTTAAGCCAGAGTGTTATAGGAGCAACAGGAAATCTGAGGAGTTTGTAAGGTTTGCACAATAAATTTTTAATACATTTAATCTGAAATCACATCAATCTATTCCCCCACAGTATATGATAGAGTGCACATTAAAATATCGTTTATGCTATATACTCTCTCAGGAGTGCTGGTGCAGAAGCCACCACTGCATCATCTTCTGGTGGCGCTCGCATCCCAATATTCCATGCAAGGTATCTCAGACCAATACGGACTCACTGATTTTTCCAATGACAAAAATTGACCTTTATTACTGCAGCTTTTCTTGTTCACCAATTACTAAAAGTGTTTGTCATACCAAAATCAGTGCTCTTGGACCTTGGCATGCAGTAATTGCTTACGATGCATGTGTTCGACTTTGCCTGCATGCTTGGGCAAGGGGTTGCAAGGAAGCTCCTATGTTTCTTGAAAATGAATGTGCTCTATTACGAGATACTTTTGGGTGAGTCCATTCTCTTCCTTCATTCTTCTAGAAAGGTAACCTCAAGTAATTTTTAATATTATAATGGTTCATCTTGTCCTAAGTTAATATCAAAATCCCTTCTCCTAGGTATTGTAGTAGTTATTGGAGCTGTTATATTTGGTTCTGCTTAAACTTCCATGTGCAGCATGTCAGTCAGTTTGGTTTCTTGTCTCTGTAAAACTGAAATTTGAATGTTGAATGGTAAAGGCAGTAAATGTTCATAGAAATCTTGATAAAATAGAATTTTTTTTTTTTTTTGGTATCAAACAAACTATCTTGATTTCATTAGTCCAGTAAAAGTTTTCATTACGTCTAGTAGTCCACTATTTACATATATGACTACACTTGATAGCCGCCTCTTAAATTGATGAAAATGCATCCATTTCTCAGAAGTAAATGATCTAAAGAATTTGAATTTGGTTCTTTAACTGATTTTGAAAGTTTTGGAATTGTTTATGATTTGTAAACGGGTATGCTTTATTGTTCTACTCCCACTATTTTTTCTCTTGCTTTCCTTAAAATTTGCATGTGGTGCGTAGATTACAACAAGTTCTGTTGCAATCAGAAGAGGAACTAATGGAAAAACGCTCTTCTGAGCTTACCAATGAGGCAGCTGCCCCCAAGCCTAAGAAAATTGTTGGCAAGATGAAGGTGCAAGGTAATTGTCCTATCAGATTTCACATTCACTTTTCGGGTCGTTTTTCTTGGCTATCCCTAATACTTTATTTGCACACAGTACGTAAAGTCAAAGCAACCCTGGATCCACCAACTGGCTGTAGTATGTCATCTCTTAGTGCTCCGGAAATTAAGCTGGAGACGAAGTTGTCCAACTTTCAGTCAGTACTCTCTTCAAGGTGGAATACTCTTAAAAGGATTCGTGTTGCACCTCATTTACCTGCAGGTCGTTCTTTCACAGCCAAAAGTTCTGCATATATGCATGCTGGAACTCAGTATGTAAAACAAGTATCTAGACTGCTGAAAACTGGCATAACAAGTTTACGCAATGGTTCATCGTCATATGAAATTGTGAAAGGTATTATCTCTGTCTTTTGAAACCCCTTGTTTTCTCATTATAAGTTACACAAAGTAGGATCCTGTTTGAATGGATTTTTTCGTAATCTACTTAGACTTAAGAAGTACTCATCCTGACGATGCCCACATCATTTATGGAAATCATGGAACATGCTAGCTGCCTAGCTCCTTTTCTGCTACACGTGGTATTTTCTTGAAAGATGTGGTTTTGCAATTGAATTGTAAATTGCTTTAAGGGCATCTGTATTTAATTGTTTGTAACTAAAACATTTTGATTGTATTTATCTGTAGTATTGCTTGGATATGTGTTTCTTCAAGTTTATTTTCCTTTTTAGTTACGAATTAGCCAACTTGTTATTTTTTCTTTAATTTTCCATCATCCTTTCCTCTGTCCATACATGTCATTAGAAACATATGCTTGCATGCTGAGACTGAAAAGTTCAACTGAAGAAAACAACATAAGAATGCAACCTGGGTCTGGTGAAACACATCTCTTGTATGTAACTATTCCTTAACTCTCTGTCTCTCTTGCTTTCGTCTCTAAATTTCTCTAAGACTGTTACTGACAAGATAGGAACCGATACCTCTTGCAGCTTCCCAGATAGTTTGGGAGATGATCTAATTGTTGAAGTTCAAGACTCCAAGGGGAAGCATTTGGGTCGTGTCCTTGTACAAGTGGCTACTATTGCTGAAGACTTGGTATTGTTCCAAAATTACTACAATTAGTTATACTTAATTTGCAATTTTAGTTTGTTTAATAATGCTCATATGAAAGTTGAATGTAGACTGACAAGTTGCGGTGGTGGTCTATTTACCGTGAGCCAGAACATGAACCTGTAGGCAAGCTTCAGCTGTATATAAACTACTCAACTTCAGATGATAATAGTTGTCTCAAGGTGAACTAGTCTTGACTAGCTTAAACTTTTAAATCGTAGTTCCTTAATTAATTTCATTGATATCTGTAGCTCATAGTTTGAAGAAAGAAGGTTCGGTCCATTTGTTTGCTTTTAATTTGGTACTATTGTCTGACATTTAGTTGTTTAATCTAAATGAATTAATTCTGCAATGGCTTTGTGATATTAATTGCATTCTTTTCTAGTGTGGTTCTGTTGCAGAAACAGTTGCTTATGACCTTGTCTTGGAAGTTGCAATGAAGGTTCAACGATTCCAACAAAGAAATTTACAATTATATGGATCATGGAAATGGTTATTAACAGAGTTTGCCTTGTATTATGGAGTTTCTGATGTCTACACCAAGCTAAGGTAATTGAATTTTGTTTTCTTTTATTTTTTTGTCCTGTTGGCATTCATATTCTAGAAGGTTCCTGTTTTGGTCAATTTTTTTAGGTCTGGAATCTGTACATTTTTTACAGGTATCTTTCTTATGTAATGGACGTTGCCACGCCTACTGCTGACTGCCTGGGATTGGTGCATGAATTGTTAGTGCCAGTTGTTATGAAGTGCCATACTAAAGGAGCATTGACTCATCAAGAGGTACTACTCATTCCACTTTTTGTTTATAAGTTATAATAATTCTCTTCAATAACACAGATGTGCTTTTTGCTGCATCCCCAGAATCGAATTTTGGGAGAAACCAAAGATCAAATCGAGCAGATCCTTTCTCTGGTTTTCGAGAACTACAAATCACTTGATGAATCATCATTCTCAGGCATTATGGATGTGTTCAAGCCTGCAACAAGAATTGCAGCACCCGCACTGGAACCTGCAGTTAAACTATATACTCTTTTACATGACATATTGTCTCCAGAAGCACAGACAAATCTGTGTCATTATTTCCAGGTTTAGAATTTAATTTTGTTAAATTTACAAAGACTATTCTGAATAATACCTCTCTGATTAATGGATAGAAAATGTTACAAATATATACAACTCTAATCTAACTAATTAACTGTAAATTAGTTACAACTGAAAAACAGAAATAACAAATTTAGTTTCTTAACAAATTTGCTTAATGATGTACCTATCTTTCTACACGCCTCACCTCCACATTCTAAATATTCATATATACACAGGCTGCTGCAAGAAACAGATCAAGAAGGCACTTGGCTGAGACTGACGAATTTGTTACCACCAACAATGAACCCAATTTTTTGGATCCTTTTGCAGTGTCTACTGCTTACCAGAAGATGGCATGTCTTTGCAGGAACATTAAGAATGAGATATTAACTGATATTGAGATTCACAATCAACATATACTTCCCAGGTATGTTGTTCTCTCTCTCTCTCTCTTTTCTTTTTTTGTTTCTGTTTTAATCTTGCTCAAAAAGTGAAATCCCATTCGTGTAATGGATCATGCCAAAAAATTTAGAAGTAATTGAGATATGTATTGGATTTGAAGATAAGCATGATGCTGACATTAATTGCTTACTACTATTGACGTAATCTGTGATATGATGGTCAAGAGTGTGCTATCTTTTAATATGCTTAAACAATGTGTTTATTTTTACCCTTTTGTACCGAAATGGTTGATAGAATAAACCCTTTTCACTTTTCAGAACACCATACCAGGTTATACAATCATGCATGTGTGAACTTTTCATTAGCCACATCTATATAAAGTCGCAACATTAAATCGAGTTCTTTCTTTGTGCAGTTTTATTGACCTACCAAACCTATCAGCATCTATATACAGCACTGAGCTTTGCAGCAGATTACGTGCTTTCCTTCTTGCATGCCCACCATCTGGCCCTTCACCACCTGTGATAGAACTTATTATTGAAACTGCCGATTTCCAGCGAGATCTTTCCAGCTGGAACATAAGGTAACTTTTTGGTGACAGCCATTCTTTTAGTAATCTTTCGTTTTACTATTACAAACTCATTTACTTTTCTTGCAGTCATGTGAAAGGTGGAGTTGATGCAAAGGAGTTGTTCCACTTGTACATCATGATCTGGATTCAAGATAATCAGCAATCTCTACTTGAATCATGCAAACTAGATAAGGTACATTCTTTAAGCAACAATCTTATTGTTGAATCAGATTTCCTGCTTGTAACTTCATTAATATTACCGTGGCCTACCTGATTTGTGTCAAGAAGAACATATCATTGTCATCTTCTCTAAGCATGTGATGCCTCTCTATTCTTTTTACATGATTACAATTGAAATAAACAAATAAAGATAATATTAAAATATTCTATTCTAGAAGCATCTTGCAGATATTATCAAACTGGTCTTGGTAGATTGTTTTTGGTGTAAAAGTTATCTGAATCTTATATACTTGCAGGTAAAGTGGTCAGGAGTTAGAACACAACATTCTACAACTCCTTTTATTGATGAAATGTATGAACGACTCAAGGAGACTTTGAGTGACTATGAAATCATCATCTGCCGGTGGCCTGAATATATTTTTGTTCTGGAAAATGTATGTTATCTACTTATATTTCACCTCAGTTTGTGCTAGTGAACGTCCGTTCAGTTGCATCGTGAATTGTTTAACCAGGTATTTCATGAACAAGTAATAAACTACGGGCTATGTTTCTGTACTAGGCTATTTCGGATGTTGAGAAAGCAATAGTGGAAGCTCTTGATAAGCAGTATGCAGATGTAGTGTCTGCTTTGAAAGAAAATCTGGCACCAAAGAAATTCAGCATTAAGTACATACAGAAACTTACTAAACGATCTGTATGCTCCTACACTGTTCCTGATGAGGTAAGCCCAATAATAACTTCATTGAACAAGAATCTCCATTGGATTCACACTCTGGATTCATTTGATTAAAAGCATGATTGTTACATTCAGCTGGGTATCCTGTTGAATTCTATGAAAAGGGTGCTCAATGTCCTACGTCCCAAGATTGAGACCCAGTTCAAGTCATGGAGTTCGTGCATTCCTGATGGAGGAAATACAGCTCCTGGAGAGCGTCTTAGTGAGGTGACGGTGATGTTGAGAACCAAGTTTAGAGGGTACCTGCAGGCTGTTGTTGAAAAACTTGCTGAAAATGTGAGTGTCATTTTCTTATAGTAGCCATGAATTAAATTTGAGTTTATCTGAATGCTGAAAAGAACTTTTGGAGAAGCAAAAATCTTAGACTATAGCAAGTCCTAACTTGTTAGATAATTGGTTTGTGGGTGTCTATACTATCAGACTCTAGGGCTGTCTAGCAAATTAAGCTTGATTTTCATGCTGCTTCTGCTTTATGCATAAAAAACATCAATAGCTGCTTTTATTTTCCGAAGCAGCAATCAATGTTCTTTTGGGAATTTAATTTTCCCTGAAGAGAAACTATGATGATCTTTCATTCTGTATATAGGCTATATGCGTTGATATATAGTCTCAGTTTCAAATTCAATCCAAACATGTTTGTCGATCATTTTATTTGCAGCATATCGTATCAGTCAGTTTTCATCATTCTAGAGGCATATTAGTCAATTTTATATGCTTGAAGTTTCTCATTCAATCATTTTAATTTATTTGAGTAGTATTTTGGTTATGCTGTTGAATCGATTTTCTATCTTTTATTTCCTTTTTTTTCCAGACCAAATTACAGGAATCGACAAAATTGAAAAAGATTCTCCAAGATTCCAAAGAATCCATGGGAGAGTCTGATATTCGGGGCAGAATGCAGCCATTAAAAGAACAGCTGATAAGTACAATGAATCACCTTCATATTGTTTTTGAGACTCGTGTTTTCATTGCAATTTGCCGATGGTACTGGGATAGGATGGGACAAGTAAGTTGTAGGTGAATGATGCAGTAAATGGTTTGAAATTGCAATTGAAGCTAATAATTGCACAAATTACATGATCTTTTCTTCATCTTTTTTTGTCTTATCTTGCAGGATGTTCTCGGCTTCTTGGAAAATCGGAAAGATAATAGATCATGGTGCAAAGGTTCTCGAATTGTTGTATCTGTAAGTGAATGCCTAACAATCTTTTCCATTCTTGTTAAAAATGAGTTCCTGAATTTATTACTAAACTGAGCATTGCATCTTTAGATGAACATGCTGAACAAATCATATATTGTTAAACTGAGAGAGGAACAGAATTTAGAGAGGATTCTTCCTCAATTGTGTATCAAAACTTGATTATATCAATGGGTATTTATGCAAGAGTTGAATGATCTAATTCTAACTAGGGAAATAATCCTACAATTACCAAGTAATTACAATAGTTCCGCCTTAAAAATAAGCCAACAAATTTTTTTTTTTTTGATAAAAAATAAGCCAACAAATTGATTCCCAAGATTTCAACTTATTTGGTCAGCACTCCTCCTCAAGTTGGTGTAAAGTGCCAACTTGAAAACCAAATTACGATAGTTCTATTATCTTTGGTGAAGACATCTTCTAGTTGACTTTTCGATGTCACATGGATTAAGTTCAAGTGGCCTGTGTTTAGGTTCTCTTTAATGAAGTGTTGATCGATATCAATATGTTTCGTTCAGTCCTGTTGAACCATCTATTGAACAATACTAATGGCAGCTTTGTTATCACAGTACAAGAATACCACATTTTCTTTTGATATCCTTAATTCTGCTAGTAATTTCCGTAACCATGGGAGCCCACAAACTCATTGTGACATTATTCTGTATTCTGTCTCGGCATTTGATCAAGCAACTGAATTTTGTTTCTTGGTTCTCCAAGTAAACCAGATTTCCTCTCACATCAGTAAAGGCTTCTATCTAGAGATGATCGTGTTTGGAAAATAAAAGCCCTTTCGTGGAGCAGACTTCATATAACATACAATGCAAAAACAAAAACTTGCTTGATACTCCTCTAGGATCATGCATAAATTTGCTTACCAAGCCAACTGCATAAGTTATTTCAGGTCTCGTATGTGAGATAAATTTTTCATTCAATTAACTTATGGTATCTCCCCTTATCAACAGTTTCTCCAATTCCCGCTTGCAGCTTCTAGTTGCCTTTTATGGGTGTTTCAACCAGAAGCTCCAGAATATATTTCCTCTGAGAAATGAAGATTCTTCTTCTGGACCTAGTGACTTCAATTCCTAGAAACTATTGCAATTTTCTCAAGTCTTTGATTCAAATTCCCGAGCTAATTTTGATCTCAACAAGGCCATCTCTTATTTGTCATCTCTTGTTATCACAATGTCATCAGCTGTATTGATAGTCAAAGGAGATCATGGCTTTGCTAAATCTATCAAACCATATCCTAAGAGATTGTTTCAACCATACAAAGTTTTCTTCAATCTACACATATTTTCTTGTGTTTTTGCATCATCAAAGCCTGAAGGAATCTCCGTACAAAATTCTTCATTTAAGTCACCATGCAATAAAACATTCCTCACATCAAATTGTTGCAAATCTCGATCAAAATTGGTTGCACGGGATAGTAAAATTCTGTTGGTGTTCATCTTTGCAACAAGAGAGAAAGTCTCATAATAGTCCACACCATATGTTTGAGTGAGAAGCCTTTGGCTACTAATCTAGCTTCCAGGTTTCATTCTCTGCTAGAGCCTTCATCTCTTCAATCATGACTCCCTTTCATCTCGGATCATTAATGTACTCTTTCTAATCTTGTGGAATAGTGTAGGAAATTAAGGGATTCTGTAATATTCTATAATCTCTTATTTTAAGGGATCATATATCCTATGATTAGTATTTTTCCTTTCTTAGAGTTTCCTACTTTAGAGAGATGATTTGTATATAAATATGTAATCTGTCCTATTGAAAAGAATAAGAAATTACAGATAATTACTTTGATTTCTATATGGTATCAGAGCCAGGTTACGGTTTCTTTCCAACCTAGATGATATCCACAACTTCTTCTCTTACTACGGAGATCACTTCAAATCCAGAAAATTTTTCTAGTTCTGCTGCTCAATCAGAAGGTAATCTGGTCATGAAAAAACCAGAAGGTAAACCTCATGCTATAGTTTTTTTCTCCTCCCAGTCGTCCCCTAATTGGATCCTCAATTCTGGTGCTACGGATCATATGACTGATAATAAGGATTTGTTTTGCAATTTTTTTCCAAACTTTGGTAAAGCTGTCAAAACGATTGATGGTTCTTTGTGCAAAATAGAAGGACATGACACTGTTATTCTCAATGACCAGATTGTACTTAAAAATGTCCTATTCGTACCAAATCTGGCTTGCAATCTCGTTTCTGTTAGTAAACTTTCCACCGACTTGCACTGCTCTGTAATTTTTAAAGATATTGATTGTACTTTGCAGGCACTGAACTCGAAGAACATGATTGGTAAGGCCAGCTTACAGAATGGTCTCTACTAAAACCGAAATCTTGAAATCTTTCACCGCTTTAGAAAAAGTTGATAATGTTATATTAATGCACTATCGTTTAGGTCATCCTAGTTTTCACTATCTTGCAAAAGTTTTTCCTACTCTATTCATTCATAAAAGGCCAAATTCTTTTTCTTGCAAAGTTTTCTCTCTTGCTAAACATACTAAATCAACTTATTCTCCTTCTACATATAAGCCTTCTCACCCTTTTGCTTTGATCTACAGTGATATTTGGGGTCCTTCTCGGGTGAAGAATGCTGATAATTGTAAGTGGTTTATAACTTTCATTGATGATCACAGTAGGATAACTTGAACTTATTTGCTAAAAGATAAATCTGAAACTACTGGTGTTTTTACTCAATTTTATAACATGGTTCTCACTCAATTTGGGTCTAAAATTCAGCTCTTTAAATCTGATAATGGTAGTGAATTTTTTGCTAAGTCTTTGGGTGTGTTTTTCAGGGAAAAGGGCATAGTTCAGATTAGTTCTTGTGTTGACACCCTACAACAAAACGGTATTGCCGAAAGAAAAAATAGACACCTCCTTGAAGTTACTCGTTCTCTTCTATTTACCACTAATGTTCCAAAATATTTGTGGGGGAAGCCTTATTAACTGCCACATATTTAATCAATCGAATGCCTAGTAAGGTTTTACAAGTTCAAACACCCCAATCTATATTTTTGCAATACTTTCCCCATTTTAAACCTATCTCCTCCATTCTTCCACTTAAAATATTTGGTTGTACTGTTTTTATCCAAAACATTGCTCCTAATAAGTCCAAGTTAGATCCTAAATCATTAAAGTGTGTACTGATTGGGTATTCTTCACTTAAGAAGGGTTATAAATGCTATCATCCTCCTTTAAAACGATTTTTTACCACTATGGATATAACATTTTATGAGCAAGATCCCTATTTCACTCAGACTGAAATTCAGGGAGAGACATGGAAGGATTTTCAGCCACATCAGGTATCTCCTCCTACTCTTCATTCTTAACCTTTAGAATTGCCACCAATTTTGTCCTTATCTACAGATTTGTCACCTGTAACTACTCCCATTGATCCACTAGTAGTACCTATCACTACTTCACCAATACCTACTTTAAATACCCTTCCTGAAAATACACCTACTCCCATTCAAAATATTCCACAAACAACACCAATCAAACATCTCTGTTTCTATACAAGGAAAATAAAACATATTTATGAGGCTGTTTTGCAATCTGATGCTTGCTGAGAATTGGATTTGGGTCCAGCTGCCGAAATAGAAGAAGAAATCAGTAAGTCCACTTCCCCTACCCTAGATGACTTCCCTATTGCTATTAGAAAAGGGGTTAGACAGTGCACCAAGCATCCTATTGAAAAATTTGCTGGTTATAATTCATTGATGCTGTCTTTTCAAGCATTTACAGCAAACTTGGATAAAGAACAGGTTTCCACAAGCATAGCTGAAGCTCTAAAGGATTCATAATGGAGAAGGGCTGTTGAAGAGGAAATTTGTGTACTGGAGAAAAATGCTACTTGGACTGTTAATGACCTTCCTCAAGGAAAAAAGGTTGTTGGCTGTAAATGGATCTTTATTGTAAAGTATAACTCAAATAGTAGCATCCAACGATACAAAGCGAGACTAGTGGCCAGAGGTTTTACACAAACATATGGGATAGATTTCACAGATACTTTTGCACCTGTGGCGAAGCTGAATACTATTCGAGTACTCCTAAGTTTGGTTGTAAATTGCGATTGAAAATTACACAAACTTGATGTAAAAAACGCTTTTTTTAATGGCAAGCTAGAAGAAGAAGTCTATATGAAGTTGTCACATGGCTTAAATTCTGTTGAAGGAAGTAACAAGGTGTGCAAGCTCAACAAGTCTCTATACGGGTTAAAACAATCACCCAGAGCTTGATTCGAGAGGTTCACTAAAGTCATCCTAAAAAATGGCTACAAGCAATCCCTCGCCGATCACACTTTTTTCATCAAGGTAACTTCTACAAATACGAAAGCTATCCTTATTGTGTACGTGGACGACATAATTCTTACCGGAGATGATGAAGAAGTGATTTGCAATTTGAAGAAGTTGTTAAATATGGAATTCAAAACCAAGGACTTGGGAAAGCTAAGGTATTTCTTAGGAATGGAGGTGATAAGGTCAAAAACAGAACTTGTGATCAACCAAAGAAAATATGTATTTGATTTACTCAAAGAAACTGGTTTTCTTAGTTGTAAGCCGAATGACACACCAATGGAGGCAAGCTTGAAATTTAACAAAGAAGATGTGTCCTTGGTAGACAAAGAGAAATTTCAAAGATTAGTTGGGAAACTAATTTATTTATCCTTGACAAGGCCATATTTAGCATTTTCTGTAAATGTGATAAGTCAACACATGACTAATCCTACTGAAGAGCATATGGCAACATCAAATAGAATTCTCAAGTACTTGAAGAAAACTCCAAGACACGATTTAATGTTTAAGAAGACACAAGACAAAACTATTAAGATCTTTACATATTCTAGTTGGGCCGGAGACCTTACTGAAAGGAGATCAACTAGTGGCTACTGCACCTTTGTTTGGGGAAACCTTACAACTTAGAGAAGTAAGAAACAATCTGTCGTTTCAAGAAGTAGTGCTGAAGCTGAATTCAGAGCACTAACATTGGGAATATGCAAAGGAATTTGGCTACTTAAACTACTGAAAGAACTTGTCACTAATCAAGAGGATCACTTTGAAGTTTTGTGTGATAATCAATCTGCTATTCAAATTGCCAAGAACCTAGTTCAACATGATCGGACAAAGCATGTTGAGATTGATAGGCATTTTATTGCTGATCAAGTTAACAAAAAGACAACCACACTTTCATACATTCTTTCAGAAGAACAAGTTGCAGACATTCTTACTAAGGCTTTGCCAAAGCCTGTTTTCAATAAATTCCTATTCAAGCTGGGATTATACAATGTATATTCTCCAGCTTGAGGGGGAGTGTAGGAATTATAGAAATATATGATTATGTAAATATCCTTTAATTAAGGGATTCTGTAAATATTCTACAATCCCTTATTTTAAGGGATCATATCTCCTAGGATTAGTATTTTTCATTTCTTAGAGTTTCCTACTTTAGAGAGATGATTTGTATATAAATATGTAATCTGTCTTATTGAAAAGAATAAGAAATTACAGAGATTTACTCTGATTTCTACAAATAGACACAGAGGATAAGGACTAGACAAAAGCTCTATAGGAAAGGGATAGTGATTCATAAGAAACAAAGTTCGAAATAGGATGTTTGGTACATGACCTGGCACCTTTTCTTAGAACAAGTAAATCTAGATCAACATGGATTAAAGGTAACTCACCAGAAAAAGAAGATTTTTGACACTAAGTAAGCTACATGATGACTTTTTCTTCACATTCTTAAATTTGGTTTATCTAGTGGAAGAGGAATTCTCTATGGTGGTGCACCCATGCGTTTTACCATCTCCCCCGGACGCCATTTTCTTTGGAAATAAAATTTTCCAAAACCAGAGGATTAGGCATCATTTTTTCCTGTTCAATCTCTTCCTGAAGAGATTATGAAGTCGTATAGTAATATGGTTCATCTTCAGATAATGTCATTCATACTAACAAAATACTTCAGGGAAGGGGGATGATAGAACTTATAGCCTTTCCATGTTTGTGAATTCCTAATAAACACACAGAGGATCCAGTTTTCTGTCATTCTTCGTATGAACAGAGAAAACACAACCAAATACTTCTGAACTTTGTACTCTACTTTTGAGCAAAGCCTCTAAAGGACTTCCGAACTCTAGAGTCTTAAGAGGTACTCTATTAATAAGATATGCTGAACTAAGACTCCTAGTAAGGCTTAGGAAGGTTCATTGTGAACTTGAGAGACTAAGCAACCTCCAATAGATGCATGTTCTTCCTCTCTGCTACTCCTTTGTGTACTAATTCTTGGACAAGTGGTTTGATGGATTACCCGTTTGACTCCAAATATGTCCTAAAATTTTATCTTGTTCCATTATCAGTTATCAAAATTTTTACTTTTACATCAAATTTTGTACTAACCTTCATCTGGAAAGACTGAAAATAAGAAAACACTTCACTCTTAGATTTTAGCAAATACACTCGTGTCATACTTATTCTGGTGCAGCAATATAATGAAGTCGCAAACCATCTGCTACTGATTAAAGAGGTAATTCAGTTTTGCCGCCAAACATCAGAATGAATCATCGAAAAGGGAACAATACTTGGATCGTTTCATAAGGGATAAGAGTTCTTGGTATGTTTATGATACTCAAGCATCGCAAGCTAATGAAATTGAGTTCTTGAAAACAAACTAGGAAATAATTTCTCTCAAACATAAATGATGGATGTCCTTACCGTCTTTGACACTTGATTATTTCCTTGTTGACCCAGATTAATGGGATATGAAAATGAAATTTTGAATGTTGTGAATTTGCAGATTCTGGATGATACTTTTGCATCACAGATGCAGCAGCTTGTTGGCAATGCACTCCCGGAAAAAGACCTTGAGCCACCGAGGTCTATCTTGGAGGTGCGGTCGATGCTCGGTAAGGATTGCTAATTCACTACCCCACAGTTATTTGTGTAGATAACAATGAGCTACGCTACACACATATATTAGAACAAAAGCCTTACAAGGTTGTAAAAGAAAAACCAACGGCATTCCAAAAAAGAAGAGAAAAAGATGGAAGATATATATCTCTTGAATTTTTTTTCTTTCCTTGCCCTTCTGATTTTAGTTCAACAATTTAAGAACTTGTTTAGTGGCTTCATGGTAAATGGAGATGTTCTTCTAAATCTCAATTTGAACAGTTACGTTTGCAGTATATATGCACACTACACTTTATTATGGACTAATTTTTTAATATATATTATTTTATAATTGTTCCATATAATTTAAAGGAATATTGTTTTTCCATTACAATTTACACTAGATTATATGTAATTGTGATATGATGAATGGTTCCACCATATTCATCTCGAGAATCTAAATTGTGATAAGGAAAGACTATATATATACGATATAGATTTTAAAATAATTTTGAATATTTTGAATTTTCAAAAAGTTAAGATTTCTAAATATATTTTTATATATTTTAAGATATTAAATGTACTTTAGAAATTTAACTAATGACGTAATATATATTTTTATATTTTTCAATTCATCACATTTCAAAATTATTATAAAAATTGACTAAAATATGTTACCTCTGCTAAATAAAATTACTATAAGAACCATTACATAGAGTTTTCTTTGCGCGTGCAAATATTATTAGAATTATACTCGAAATCAAGTGTCTGTTTTCTCACAAGAAAATCTCGTATGGGATGTAATATTTAGCCTGAAACCCTAAGTTTGGAGGTAATAATCCATCATGTTTTGCAACCTCGATACATAGGGGGAGAAAACCTAATAAATATTGATAGTAGGTAGGGTTATAAATGAGACGAGACAGATCGCAAGTTACTCGAAATCGATACGGTCAAAGTTCGATCAACACTTGAATCGAATATACTCGAATCGAACTAAAACTCAACTTTAATTCTTAACGAGGTGAAGCGAGTTACTTGATACATGACTCGAAATGTTTGAGAGCAATTCAACAAAATAATATATTATATTTTTAGATATTTCAAATTAAACTATTAATAATATTAATATTTATATGATATTTTTTTAATACAATATAAAACTTTCATGTACTTAAGGTTCATGTTCAAGCTTTAATCGAGCTAAGTCTGAGAATGTTTCGAGTTTAAATTTTTTGAGTTCAAGTCGAGTTTCAATTTTTTATTTCGAGTTTGAATCAAGCTCGACAATTTTAAGCCCGTGAATTTTTAAGTTGAATCAAGCTTCAATTTTTTATTTCGAGTTCGAATCAAACTTAATAATTTTAAACTTGTGAATTTTTTAATCGAGTCGAGCTCTGTTTCAATTTTTTCAATCGAGCTCATCAATACTCGAATTTGACTCGACTCGAGTCATTTACAATCTTAATTGTAAGGGTAAGTTATATTATATTTATTAAAAACGATTTAAGGCTTAAATATAATATTATTGAAAATTTTAAATATTTTTTTTTAAATAAATGACAGTGGTCCAAATGATTTATGGTGTTATTCCTCCTCAATAATTCAGATTCGAAGAGCAATAAGAAACTCCTTATGCAGATAGATTTTGCGCTAATCTATTTTTTTTATTAATTTGAGTAAATATAAAATAGTATCTATTTTAAAATAATATTTAATCATTTGATATTGAACATTCATAATCCTAACATTTTTAATGTTCAAATATGAATCTAAAAAAGTAACAATAATTCTTTTATCATTGAAATCACTCGATTTGTGCGCGCTAACCTAATTTAGTTCAATGATATGGTTGTTTTTTTCTTTCTCAATTCGTTTTTTTAAATAGGCATAAATGATGTTTGTGCATTATTTACTAATATTAACAAGTTTCTTTCTCATATTTTATTCATATTAAAAATCTTACACTAATCATTTTACTATATTTATTTATAGGGTAAACTATAAGATTGATCACTTTCGTTTAATATTTATACACTTTCATCACTAAATTTAATAAACTTATTTTTTGGTCATTTACATTATCATTTATTAAGGTTTGGTAAATTAAACTTTATCTGTCGTTAGTTTGATGACATAACACGTTAGTAAAAATATTTAATTTTTATTTTAAGTCTGAATTTCACATAAAATATTAATTTTGAGTCTTTTGTAAAACTAAAACAGTTTAGGGACAAATTTTTAATTTATCCATTTTTCTAATATTTATCTTTGCCAAAAGTAGAGTTTACTCACATTTGTGCCGGCTTCTCACTGCCTCCACCCTTGTGCCTGTCAGCTAGTGGCGGATGCACTAATTCCAACTGGCATAATTGCATCCTCATTATTTTTAAAAAAATAATTAAATTTAATATAATGTGTTATTAAAAAGAATAAAAAGTTTTTCATATATCATTAAAAAAAGAATATTAAAATTTTGGACTTTATTTTTTAATTTCTAGACCTATCAAGGCTACAACTACAAGCTCATGAAGATTTCCTTGAATGCAGACAAGAAGTTCGACACCACCTTCTAAGGATGATTTATCTGATGCGAAGCAAACAACATAGATATAATTGAACCGCAAACACATTAGAGTCCACAAAAGCTCTAATAACAAACAAAAGAGGCCGAAAAAGCCTCAAATGTCAAAGTTGATACAACTGAAAAGGCTTTTGACAACGAATTGATCAAAGTGAAACTTCTTATTCCACTTCAGAAAATATGGCTTTGGACAAAATGAACTGAAGGGTAAACTGGTCCAAGACAAAGCATTGCAAACAACTCAAATCTCAAGGAAATCTTCACGAGCTTGTAGGTAACCTGACGAGTACATAAAAAAAATAAAAATACTCATAATTAGTATTTTATTTAAAGTTCAGAGTTAAAATGTAAATTACACACTTTTACTAACATGACACATCATTGAAATAACGACAGTCAATATTTTAGTTACCAAAGTTTAAAATATTTGAAATCAGTAAAAAAAGGCTTAAATATATAAATGGTGTCCAACCTATGCTTGTTTTTCCAGTTTAGTGCCTAACGTTTTTTCGTTTCAGCTTGGTGCCTAATGTTTCATTCCATTATTCAAAATGGGTCCAGCCATGACGGGGCGTTAAGCCATTAAAAATGCCAGCTAACATAGTTTTTTAGGGTAAAATATATAAATAATCCCCAAACTTTTAGGGCATTGCATTTTGGTCACACAAAAATTAAACATAAAGTAATCGGAGCTTACCCCCAACGGCGGTGGGAGGGAAAAATACTGGTTGGGTTTTGGTCGAAACAAATCGGGGAACCAAGTGGCGGTGGCAGTGAGACAAACGGAGCTCGGGATCAGCGCAAAAATCGAGAAACTATTTGCGATGGTTTAGTGTTTTCTAACGAAGTTTTAAGTCGTTCTCCACGACGAAAAATTATGATTCACGGTGCGAGGGTGGTCGGGTTTTTGGTCGCGGGCGGACGGTGGTCACGCTGGTGGTGATAGTGCAACCTACGGAAGCCTACGGTGGTCGAAATCATGAAGAATATCATCGGTGGATTATTAGGTTTTCAACGGAGCTTCAAAGTACCACCCACGATGATCGACGGTGGTTTACGGTGAATAACCAATGGCATATTGGTCGAGGGATGGTGGGGAATGTTTTGGTGGTGGCGGTGCACGCCATGCTAGGAAACGACGGAAGAAGAAGAAGAAGAAGAAGAATGAGGAGTCTAACAGGGTGACAAAAATGCAATGCCCTAAAAGTTTAGGGATTATTTATATATTTTACCCTAAAAAAATCCGTCAGCTAACATTTTTAATGGGTTAATGGCCAAACTTAACGGTCCGTCACGGCTGGACCCATTTATAAAAAATTAAAAATATTAAACAAAATTGACTAATCATATAGGTTATCCTTATTTATAAAAAAAAATTACACCTTAGAGGCTAAGATATGTTGTCCATCAAGATACATTATAGCTATCTACTGGCATTAATGGGGATATTAACTAATGAACTCTTTTCTTTTTCATTCATTTCAATTAGATTTGTAAACACTAATTTTCATCCAGAGGATTAATACGAACATTAATTTTTGAATTTTGAGCCTTCATTACTTTAGTCTATTTCAGCCATCGCTCAATTTTGATCATAGTCTTGTTTTGGTCACCAAACTTCAACTTTTTTGAAATATCGAAGTTGAGTGATCAAGTTGAAATTTTAGTGACCAAAAGAGGAATATGGTCAAAGTTGAGGGATGAAAATTATAGTTCGCTCAAGAAATAAATAGATGGTACATGTGGTGTATTTTAGCTTGTTTGTTGATTTAAAAACTCTAGCATGAGTGCAGTGGCGGATCTAGAAATTGAAAAATGGGGGTTCAAAATTTTAATACTTGATTCTAAAAGAAATTGGGTGTGCAAATTTTCTTATTTTTTCCTATTCCCATTAGTAAACTAAACTAAATTTAACATTTTTCTCAAAATGATAGGTGTGCAATGGCTCCCCTATGGGGCCGTGTACATCCGCCCTTGTATGAGTTCACCCTAATATATGCACTGGATATAATTTACTTATATTGGTATAAAACTTGATATATTCATTTTGTAAGGGTTAATATTTTTGGTACGCAGGATGGCTACCAACTAGGCGTGAGTTCCGCGCGACCTCCATTGGTGCAGCTCCAAGACCAACTCATGAACCAGAAATCAAACCCAATTGAAACCCACTATTACAACAAACCAAACTCAAATGTCATCTGGAATGCTAAAATGATCGAGGTACCTCACGTGGCATCTTCAATTCTTATGGTCCCCGTGCACAATAGTAATCACGGGTCTTTGGTGCATGTTAAAACTAAAATACTTGGATACATGGAAAACTTCTAATTCATTTATTCCACAAATCACTGTATACAAAATACATATATATAGTATTAATAATAAAGTAACTACTTCTAACTAACCTCTAACTAATTCCTAACTACACAAGAATAACCAACTAACTTTTCTATGCTCAATACTCCCCCTCAAGTTGGGTTGTAAAACACATCTTTTACTCTCAACTTGGACAACAAATATTCATGCTATGAAACA